ACTGAATCATAACGTCCTTGGTGCTAATTTTACCACACTTCCCTGTTCCATTGTTCCTGTCACACTCCTTCTATCAGCACTTTACCTTTTCCATCTATTTTCTGGCTTCCTGTCCATGACTGAAAACTTTAGTCCACATAGCAATTTTATTTATTGCTCTGTAATTGTATTTATTTTATTTATTGCTCTTTTCCCCCCTCACAACAGGTTCTGTGAAAGTATCATTAATATGGGAAGGGACTTTCCTTTCTCTGAGTTGACCCAAGTTGCAATTGATTGACCTCCCCATCTGTTTGTTTGTTTCTGAGTCTCTTTGATTAACATTTCAAGTTCTTTGAATGTATAGGTGGATTATGGAGTCATGGAACCAGGTTTCAAAGCTGTCCTAGAAGACGCAACTCTTGAGGAGGCTCTTTGGGTCCTGAAAAGAGTGAATGGATTCTGTTGCTTGTCTGTGAAGCACAACATGGAGGGTAAGGATATTTGCTTGTCTCAGAGATGGGCCAGGTCTGTCTCTCTAAATGTGGCTGAGCTGTGACTTCCATTAGGCCTCATGATAAGCCATACACCTAATAGAAATTGGGCTTTGTTGACAGCTCTGATTATCCATCCCCAGCCTACATGATTGCTTCAAAATGCAAAAATCATAATGAATGATTCAAGCATGCTGGTGATCAAGTATTTCTCCCTCTTGGTGGGATCCTGCAATGAAGTAAGGCAAATAGATTTGTGAGTACCCCTAAGAGTGGCATGCTGGGAAACAACAAGAAGCTTTCCTTACTATGCCACTGAAGTTAATGTAAAAGATTTAATAATGGGGTGGGAGATATTACAGAGAATTGTGCTCTGTAATAATTAGTATGAAGGAGGATCTACTCAGTGTTTCCACACGGGAATTCCTTCCCAGCATTTATATGTTTTTCTGAATCCCAAGAAAAGTCAGTTGAGAAATCAGGAAAATGGGAAAAAGTATTACCCAGGGTAAGCATTGCGAATGCTAGCCAAGAGGTGCCCTCTACCATTCTGGTTGTAGATTTTGGAAGGTGGGGGGCTTTCTTGTAGGTCCTCACAGAGTTCTGAGGAACACTTTCTGCTTGGGGCTGCCACCACCCAAGCTGGTACAACAGATACCGCTGCCAGATCTACTGTATGCAGGGAGAAAACGGGGCCAGTCTAAGAGGTTCTCAGCTTTGGTACCAATTGGATGGCTTTGAGAGTGCCTTCCGGTCACATGTTATGAAAAAGACAGAATAATGTGATTTTGGGAATTCCTGGGAATTCCAGTTTCTTGATCCTGAATCTTGAAGATTAATTGGAAATTGGAAACAGTAGATGTACTCTTTTGATTTCTCTGCCTTGGGCATCAAAATGTCTTCAGCTGATCTTGGTATCTCATTGGACATGAGTATGGAATGTAAAGACCTGTTTGGGAAGTAATTGTTGTGCTCTCACTTGCTCACCCTCTGCTCCACCTGACTTGGGCTGTTGCTACTTTGATTCACAGTTTCCAACAAACTTCATCTTACTAGGTTACAAGAAACTACTGAGTGACCTGAACTCCAAGCTGGTGACATCTGGTGACTCTTTCTATATCCGTTCCAACCTATGCCTTGAGAGACAGGGTCCTAGGGAACTCTCGCTAGGATGCCATGACATTCTGCATGTCACTGATACTATGTATCAAGGCCAAACACAGTGGAGTGCTTGCCAGGTGAATCCTTATACCATGAAAGACATGGATGCTGGCACCATCCCCAACTATTTCCAGTAAGTATAATAATCTCAACTGATCTGCAGGGAACAGGGAGTCTTGTCTGGCTAATGCAGGGGTGCATATCTGCTCTCTTCTGCCTTACGCATTTCTGTCCCCATTTTTTGATATAGGGCACAACAGCAACTCATTGCTGTCATTCAAGAACTGGCCCAAAAGAGCATGGTTTCCCGCAAGGTAATGAGGCAATCTTTCCTCCACACTCTGCTTTGGGAAGTTAAATTTGCAAGTTAATTCAGACTACAAACTAAACTACAAAAATACATTTCCACCAAGCTGGACCAAGATGGGGGCGAGGAAGAGAAACTCTACGCAATGCTACATCACTGATCTCCCTCCACACAGACAACCTAGGAAATAACTTCAAATGGGAAACAATAGCAATTTTAGAATTATCAAAAAATGCAAAAGAATTCTTTGAAGAATGGCACACCAACCAAGCTGCAATCAACAGACGTAGACTTAACCCTATGTAAGGATCTATAAAAGAAATGTAATCAATGACTTCATTCACATGCAAATTAGTCACTACCCATAGAACTCCCCCACCCAGGCATACATATAACTGACATAGTAGAAAGTTGTATTCAACCTCACATCCCCCACGTCTCCTGCACTGATGATATCATAGTAGTAAGCCAAAACTGTAGCTCAGAGATCTCAACACAATAGGCTAACCCTGAGCTCCAGATATGCTACACTATCACAGAATCTGTAGCCGTACTAATATGTGGAAGGCACCTGGGTGATAATTACTTGAAACGAAGGCTTGGCATGAAAACCCTTTGGGGACATTGTCCTAAGACAACTTCCCCAAGGTTGTGACCTCCACGTGCATTGAACTTCAGCCAACTGCTGCCATAACTCCTGGGCCAGCTCTGTACATTCTGGGTTTAATATAACATCTTCCTTTTGCCTTCAGAATTCCAGTTCGCAACCCAAGTTGGTGCGTATTGTGAGCACAGAAAACAGAATCAATCCACTTTGGTCAGCTATGGAATGTAGTTTCTCAGATTCAAGCAAGCCAAAAGGCAAGTTCAACTAGTCCAATATTGTTTGTAGTTGTTAAGAATTTCCATGGTTGCGATCTATAGATATTTATCTAGGTAAATTTAACACAGTGGAGCTTTTCTTTTTTTTTTAAGTATACATGCCAAGGATTGCACCATAAAGTATCTGTTGGGAATAACTAATGAGATTGCCCCCCCAAAAAGGTCCCTGAGATTTTCTAGAAGCCAGACCATTTTCTAGAAAAACCATCTTGCTGTAGTAACCAGGTTCCTTATCATAGACCCACTGCAGCTATTGTGTTTCTGGGTTTTTATATTCCTGACAGGAATTCTAAAGAACCTTGAAGTTGATTGTTCCACACAGAGAATATGAAATGGGGCAATTTAATAAATGCCTTCAAATATGCTTTCTTAAAATATAGCTAAGAATCAAAAAACAAGCAGTGGATGAAGTCCACAACTATTTATCTCTCTGACCGCTTTACTTTTTCCCTTCTAGTGAATCCCAGGAATTGTGTCAGCCTGATGCCATACACCTTTGTCAGGCATTGCAGACCTGGGCGGCCACGTCCAGTACTTGTGGTGCCAGCACTTTTAAGCAGGATCCTGGCTGACAAGCTATGCCTGTCCAGGGACTTTGAGAAATGCCTATCAGGTACACAAGGGTCAGTTGCCTTCAGTGAAATTTTGCAGGGGAATGGTTGTTTAAGCCATGGAAAGCTCAGCATCTGAGCTTGAGACAGAGTGAGTGGAAATGTCTAGCTGATGGAACCGGAAGAGTGCACTGGCTCACAGTAAACTTCTCCAGTTGCTGTTCAAATAATTCTTATTCTAGAACATAGAATATTTCTTGACACTGTATTTGCTCATTCTCTTATGTATCCAAACAGCAGTGCTTCTAGTAAGACGTAAGAAAAAAAAAGAGATTTAGTTTGGATTCTAGAATTGTTCAGAATCATGCCGTCTGACTCTTTTTCTTCCTGTCCCTGCAGAGACCCAGAGCACAGATACCCTCCATGAAAACAAAGAGTTGAATGGCAACTCTTGTATTCCTCAACAAGATCTGGAACAGTTAATGCAAAAGGTATTAGAGGCTGCAAGAATAGATGTTGAACTTGGGTTCAGATGCAGTTATCTCGGGTGAGGGACTAGGATGTGTATTCCCTTAGGACTAGCACTGCAAATATTGTTCAGTGGTATCCATGCACTTAAATGTCTCACTCTATCTCTAGAATGTGCATGCCTGGATGGACCTGGGCCTGGAGAGTGTGCAAGAACTTCTGGGAATGGACATTTACCCCATCATTATCCTCATCACCATCGGTGAGAAGAATGCCAAGAAATTCAAGTAAGTGCTGCATTTGATGAACTGCATTTCCCTCTGGCAGAGCTGTTACCCAATTATCTTGTAATCACCAAGGAAGCACCTAAAATCATTTCTTCTACCACATAGTTGCTTTTATCCCCTGTATTTTGATACTGGCAATTCTTTCTCCTATGTCCATCATTGTTCATCCTTTCCTTCTGGGATCATTAGCAGCCCTTTTCTTTTTCTGGCCTGTATGTGTGTGTTTGTGTGTGCGTGTTAAAAAAAATTGCCCTCTCACCCCTATGGGTGGTATGTGTCCTCCTCAATTTTGGGTCCTCTACCAGAGGCCTGGGAGTTTGAGGGTTCTGGACAATATCTCAGCTGTTCCTAGCCCTGCAGTCTTCTGGACAGAGAGCTCCGATGTTGTATGTATATATATATATATATACAACTTCTGACTTCCATACCAAAATGGCTTGAATTTCAGGAAAGCTCTTCAGCGCCTTGGAGCAACTGAGGAACAACTTTTGGAGAGTGCCCGGAAAGATGAGGCCCAGCTGGAGACAGTATCCTGCCTCTATCGCAGCATTGCTCCTGACGCCTGGGGCGACCTGGATGCTCTCGTCAGCTGTGTCCGTATGGCTGTCGCTGATGAGCAGAAGAAGGTGGTGTGGGTGGAACAAGTGCCTCACTGACCTCTTTCGACAAATGTGTGGGACTTAAGGCAATTGTTTCATCTGAACCTAGGAAAAAACTGAAAGATGCTACTGCTTGTTCTGGGCCAAGATTAAAAGGAACTAGAGCATATTCCAAGCCTGTCAGCTGCATACTTACAGTTCAGAGAAATTGTTCATTTCTTTCTCGTGGTCTCCATCCGTCCTCATCTACCCTCTTTCAAACTGATTTTATCTTCCCTCCTCATCCCTCTGAATTCCTGATAACACGTCAATCACATTTGTTGGCTGAATGTGCAGAGTCCCACGTGCTCTTTTAGGTGAGATGTACATGCAGAGGTTTGCTATAATGAATTTCTTAACTCTTGGGTATTTAGAGTTGGTTTTCAAATCAGAAATGCATGGAGCCTGGACTGAACCACGTGAGGCACACAGTTCCATATGAGTGCAAGTGTACAGTATATTGAATCCTGAGCATGGAATTAATTGATGCCATTCATTTTCTTATACAAGAATTCCCCACAGGATAGAAGAATACCATTGCATTGGGGTTTTTTTTAAGTTATCAAGCACATTAGCTAGCAAACTGAGCAGGTTTTTGGCAAGTTAACATTCCCAGCACTGCATGTGTCTGTTAAAATCTGAAATTGGACTAAAAGAACTTTAGCCATGCTTCTGTCCCACTGAAACTCCAAAAGTTTGACTAATTTTGCCTTATTCCTTGACTTATAATACAGAGATTTAGCTAGCAGGGTTAGTATTAGATCAGGTTCAAATCCTCATTTGGCATTTGGTTCACTAGCTGACTTTGTGACTGTTGCTCAGCCTACCAGGGCTTTGTAAGGATAAAATGGAGATAGGGAAGAAGCATAAAATGAACAAATGAATGGACAAGTACAAGATGGAACTGGATTACCAGTCTCTCACTCTATACTAGCATTCCCTCTCTTTCTCATTTGTGAGCAATTTATACTTCCCAAGCTATGCAGTATCTCAAAACATGTCACGCTCTGCTTTCTCCTTCATTGTACTGGTATCCTAGACCTCTCTGGCCCTTTTCCCCCAAGGTTTAATTCTTAAGAATCTTGTGCTCCCAAGTCTGTTCTTAGGGAGCTTTCAGATTCCTCTTGGAACCAATGAAAAGCAGAGGTAGAGAAACATAGGAAGGACTCCTCACTACACTGCTCCATTGTTGATGGGCAACGTTTTCAACTCAGAGGGTTGCATTGAATAGTTTGATGGATCAACAATCCATATGCCTATGTGGGCACACCAAGCACCTCATAAATGGGCATCCACTACAGAGCCCTCTAGAACACCTCAAAGGCAATTTTAGCGCTTCAGTAGACCTACTCAGGGGTTTCTTGTTAAATAACCTCTCCACCTTCCAAGTTGTTGCTAGTTCAATACAGCTGTTTGTAGGGAACAAGCCTATGAGTGTGTTAGGGTTGTGCAATTCCTTCAGAAGAGTTACTTTGGAATATCAGGGAATGCATATGAAGAACCTTTTGAAATAGTTTAGGCAGCAGCGTCTCTTTCCATATTCACAGGGCTGCTTCAGACGCTGCTCCTGGCTGCCTCCACATATGCCAGTAGATGTGTAGCCGCTTCTGAAACAGCTGCATAAGCCTAGAAAAAGAGGGAGTTGCTTTAATAGCTTGAAAATAAGTGCTTCATAGGTCCTTTGTATGCTCCAAATTGACTCTTTTGAAGGAGCTGCATGATCATGATATATGCAGTGTGGGCTGGAACCCTACTATATAAGTGTTCTTCTGGTAGGTAGTCATGCTGAATGCATAATATGTAGCAGAAGCTGATATCACCACAGCAACCTCAGCGAGGAGAGAGAATTTCAAAGACTGCCTCTAGGCTGAGTGTTTGGGGTACAATAACGCCTGAGGTTATCAATCACACAGACCTCTAAAATCAGCTGCTAATAAGCTCATAGCTCGAACTGCCTGCTAGTAATGACAAGGGAGAGGATTCTGGGTTTCTGCAGCAAGCTGCAAAACAGCCCATTGAGGCCCGATGTGGGCTATGGGCTGCCTGCCCTTATTTTCAAGAAGAAAGGAGCGAAACCATTCACAGACAAAAAGGCTGGTCAGAACCAACATTTCATTTCTTTATTGCATAAAAGCAGACTTTACCTGCACTGCTCTATAGTCTGGAGAACTGGCTTTAAAACGAACAGGAGCAACTGCTACACAGACCTATGCCATCCTAGCATGCATACCGAAAGCAGTTTCTAGTCATCTCAGTATGCTGTGGTGGAACAATAATCAAATGTGTATGCTACAGAATCTAGAGATAAATATTCACTTCTAAATGTTTAAACTGGTTTTGAACTTAGAACTAGAGCATGGATTAAAAACTGGCTAACAACTTAGATGGGGCCAGCCCGTCTATATTCTTGTACCACAATTTGGGTGAGAATACTTATAGCAGTGGCTGAGTCATCTATTGAGCCAAGCTTTTCCAGTCGGTTTAATTGGACCACAACTTTCCATCACTTTCACACAGCATGGCCACTGTCCATTCTTACTTGGAATGATGGCAATTGTGGTCATCCATCTGGAAGACCCTTGTAGTATTCTTACGGCAGCAGATGTTAAAACTATGGCGTGACTTCCTTCTTGTGTCTGAGGCAAATGCTCCCTTGCTTTCGCTCCAATTCTTCCCTCAGCTGCAACTTCAGTAGTATTTAATCCTGCAAACTGCAGTGGCTACATCAGCACCCACTTGACTTGCAGATCTTTTCCTGTTACTGCTGTTCCAGACTGATGAGTAACTGCCACCACAACAGGAAGGCCAAAAGAAAATCACAGCTCGTTGTGGAGCGGCCGACACTGGGGGACAGGCTTCTCCTCCAGGACACCATCAGGCACGCATACCCAGGGGTCACCGGTCTCCCACTGCCATTTCAACAACAGCCCCTGCAGCTCTTCAAGAGCCTGTGCATAGTGGGGATCAGAAGCCACGTTGTGGCTTTCTGTAGGGTCGATGCTGTGATCGTACAGTTCCCAGCGATTCCGATAATAGTAGCCATGCAAAGTCTTATTCCAATGAGTTGGTTGCCCTGCCTGAGTTCTGTTCAGCAGGTCCTGGAATGTAGGCGAAACATAGAAATCTTGATCAATGGGGAAGGGGGTTCGGTTCTGTAAATTGTGAATGAAGTGCAGGGAGCCATGCTGCACGGCTCGCATGGGATAGTGCATGGTCACCTCATGCAGGCTTTGGCTCGCAAACACAGTTGTCCATTTTGGCTCCAGTGATAATGCTGGCAGCAGAGACTTCCCAGTAAGTTGCACTATCTGCTTCCCAAACAGACTGTAACTGGGATATGGCACAGAAAACCAGTCTAGGATGGTGGGAGTGATATCTGCAGAGAGAGAAGGGAAAGTTGAAGCAGAAAATGTGCATCTGGTGCAGAGAGAGGGGGCTGGAAGGAATCTTGGCCACCTGTGTTACCTAGTATGGAACAATATTGTGGGTCATGTAAAAAACCAACTGTTTCTTCCAAAGATTTTCTAAGTTATATTGGAACCAGTTAGCCCCAGTTTGGTACCTTCTACATGCTTCTACTCAATAGAAGTTCAGCTTAATAAAGATGGTAAGGCTTTCACATTCAGATTCACAGTGGGGACCGACATGACTAGGGACATGACAGTGGGAATTTCACATAGACTCAGCAGTGAATCTCTCAAGAAGTTCAACCCTGCATTTAATAATTACCTAACAGCAGAAGCTTCTCAGACACAACATGGCTAGATGAGTTGTTTTAGTGTAGACAAGAAAGAACCCATAACTAAGCAGCACACAGAAATCTCTCTCTCTCTCAACCTCAGGGTTTAAATCTTAAGCTACTTCTTCCTGCCTTTTTGAGTCAACAGACTTTTGGCTGTTCTCTGCTGATCCTTGAGATTGAGAGGTGCCTGCCTAATGTTTACACAACAGTTCTCTCTAGGCTGAGCATTGCTGGTTTCCTCCTTGCCAGCTTCAGCCCTTACACACTACTGGCTTCCCATTCTTCTATTTGCTTGTATCCCTTTTTTGCTGTTCATATGAGGGAACAAGAAAAGGGAAATACGTCCTATGCTGCCTTCTGACACTAGCATGTGCATCCAATTGCTTCAGTAGGTGTGTTCCCACAATTGCCCTGGCTTATTTAACCATGGTTTGTTAAATAAACCCTAAGTGGGCAGCCAACATATAAGACTAAGCCATAACACATGATTTATAAATCACACCAGTTCAGTTCACACCTTGCAATAAGCCCAAATCAAATCACTATGGTGGTTTAGCATAGGGTATGAGCTGAGTTTTTTGTTTTATCAGAATAAAAAAACAGAAATGTTTGAAAAAAACACAAATGCTTCTCCACAGACCTCCTTAGCCCCTTAAAAAGATTTTTTTAATTTAAAGATATGCGTATATGATCAACTGGAAATATTGATAATGTATGCCCCCTGAGACATTTATTTATTTCAACACTTTAAATAAATATCAGTATAACAGAACTGTTTGGAAAGGTTCCTAAAGAATATGTATGCCTGGCTGAAAATATACTGGGGAAAGAGCAGAGAAGGGCACCTGCATAGACAAAACTACCAGAGGAGTCTTTTATAGTTTGCAAAGTAAACTCTGTTATAGTTTGCAAAGTAGCCTGATGTGCTTTAGCACATCCCAGCCTCCTTCGTGGGACAAATCCTCCAGTTCATCTCTCAGCAGCTCTTACCCAGGAGGCTGACGTAGGCACTGCTGACCTGGCCCCAACGCGAAGGATGCTCAGGAGATGAGACCAGGAGGGGCTCAGCTGTGCCTGGCCGGTACAGGTTGGTTCTGCCACTGGGAAAGGGAATGCCATTGTCCGAAGTATAAATCACAAGAGTGCTGTTGCAGAAGCCTGCATGGTGGAGTTCTTCTAGGACAAGGCCAAGGCCTGCAGAAAGAGAATAAATACATACAATGAATTGATTATAAAATAGAAAATAGAAAAATAAATATAATACATGAATGGCATTACCCAGAACTAGGCTACATCCATGTTAAGGGCCAGAGGAACACTCGTTTGCACCATTCTCCTTGTTCAGACATAAAAAACACATCCAAATCTCAGGAAGAAGCACAGCTTCCTTCTCTGGGCAC